CCATTCCGGCCGAAGTGGGGGGGGGGAGAGAAAAGCAAACAAACCGTGCTAGACCCATTGAAAATACATGTACAAAAAAAGCAAAGCAGAAAGCAAACAAACCGTACAAGACCCTTCGGAAATGCAAAAAAAGCAAAGCAGAAAGCAAATGAACCCTGCAAGACCCATCGGAAATGGGGGGAAAACTCAAAAGGCAAACAAACCCCGTAACACCCATCGGAAATGGGGGGGAGACACCAAAAAGCAAACAAACCCCACAAGACCCATTGGAAACGGGGAAAAAATCCAAAACAAACAAACCCTGCAAGACCCATCGCAGCATAGAAACATAATCCCATCACCCAGCTCAAAACCACGCTGCAAAACCCACCCAGAACAGTTTTTAGAAAGCAGAAAGCAGCACCTTACCCTACCAGGCAGTCTGAAGCCTCCTCCATTTGCACTCACTCTAACCATTGAGGCGAAAGAGCTACAAAGAAGCAGCCTCTTCGCCTACCAATGGTTAGCAAATTGAATTCTCCTCCTTTCCCTCTGCCTTTTCTGTTCATAACTGGAAGCTCCAGCTGCAAGTCGAAGCAAAATGTTGCGCTCGGAGCTGGTCGTAACTCAAAATGGTCGTATGTTGGGATGTTCGTAAGTCGAGGCACTGCTGTATAAGGAGTAATTGTAGTTCGCCAGTAAGTTATGGGCCCAGGCAGACAGTAGCTTAGCTCAGAGAGATAGCTAACCAATACTTTTTGAATTTTATTGTTTTCTAAGTAATGAGATTTTTTTTCTTCCCCACCCCCAAATAAATCACATACCAGCTGAAGAGAAAAATGTTGCTGTTTGCTCATTTTTGAAAACTTCTTTTTCTGATATCAGTAACCAAACTCATTCAGAAATACAAACATGGATTTTGATTAATGATTAGACCAGAAGCTTTTCTGGAAAACTTCAAACGCTTCTGGTAATTTATCTCAGTGAAAGACCAGATTGAAGATTAATCTAAGGGCCCGGCAAGTATCTAGTGGTATAGAGATTGATGAACCAGAATCAGATGCACAAGGTATGAGGCGACAAGCCACCTCTCCTACCATCTGCCTCTCAAGTAAAGGAAGAAGCACATGAGATAGGAGTGACAGAAAAGGAATTAAGTAAACTAGAAATAAAAGAAGAGTATAAAGGGGGTGCAAATCAGGCAGGAAAGGAAGATGATAAGAAGGAGGGACAGGGAGGGGAGGAGGCAGAAGCATGTTGTGGAAGAGAGAGGAAAGGAGAGAAAAAGGAAGAGCTAGTAGAGTTGATCCAGGAAGATCCTTGGACAGGAGAGTGGGTAGAGTTCAAGGTGCCTCGTGAGTACACCAAAAGGGAATGGAGGTGACAAATGTATAGAAAGCCACCATACTCGGGGGAGACTGAAGACCGAAAGCAAAGGAAGGAATATAGGCCATTGGTGAAGAGAGAAGAACAAAGGTAAAAATGTACAGTGGTGCCTCGCTAGCAAAGGCACTAATCTGTGAAAGCCTACTGGACCAGCAAATGGTGCATATAAGCGAATGTGAATCTGCTAATAGGAAGTTAAATGTCCTACAGAAAGCATATGTCTTTACCAATTTTAAATCACAAGCTGTCTGGATCAAGCAACTTATGAGACTGAAGCTTAATTCTAAGACGTGAAAAACACATACCGTATTTTTCGCTCTATAAGACGCTCTTCCCCCAAAAAAACAGTGGGAGGAAGTGTCTGTGTCTTATAGAGCGAACACTATAAAACAGTGCTCCCCAGGACCCAGGAGCCTCAGAAGGGTCTGAGAGTGCCTTCCAGGACCCTTCAGAGGTACCCCCCACTCCCCCGGGGCCAGCGGGGGTGAAATCGCAACCTTCCAGGACTCTTCTGAGGCTTTCCAAGCCTCAGAAGGTCCTGGAAGCTGGCGATTTAGCCCCCGCTGGCCCTGTGGGGGGAGCCTCCAAAGGGTCCTGGAAGGCACTCCCGGACCCTTCCAAGGCTCCCTCCACCCCCACAGGTGCAGTGGACCAAAATTGCCAGAATATTTTTACTGTTTTCCTCCCCTAAAATGAGATGCGTCTTATGGAGAGGTGCATCTTATGGAGCGAAAAATACAGTAACTGTTTTTCTAACTATATTTAATAATTTAAGGCTGACTGGATTTAAATGATGAACAAAGGATGAGCTTCCATTCAGCAACCCTGGTTGAAAAAGATGATGCTTTCATATCTGTTCTGAATGGCAACAATTAAGCTGAGAAGATGCCCTTGCCTCAGAGAGAAGAGCATATAGACCAAAGGAACTCTCCTGAGACATCTCAGACTACAATGGCTCAAATTACGAAGTGAATGGGAAGGACAATAAAAGGCCACACCTCAAAGCCAATCACATTGCTGCTGGAATTGTGGTGGAACTGGCCATCTAGCCAAAGAATGTACATCCGAAAAAAACAGCAAGGCCAGTTGAGATAAAAGATTACAGGAAACATGTATAAACTGATTCTATTAGAGATAAAAAAAGAAGGCTAACAAGGGTCTCCAAGCCTTAAAAGTAACTTGCCAGAACTAGTGTGTCACAAATTTATTCAGGCAGCTAAGGAGGCACTGAGGTAGATGAGAATGACTACACAGACTGCTAAATTTCTGTACATCTACCTATGATCAGATGTGACATCATCAGCTCATCACTTAGGTGGGGATTGAAATGGGGGCGGAGAAGGAATCCATTTGCCCTACTTTTCCAGAAAGGTTGTTCGTACAATCATATCAATCTGAATCACAAACTGATTCACCTCACTCCCCACCATTTCTAGACCATAAAGAGGCAATTTGCAGTATTCTCGGGTCATCTATCTATATACTCATCACTTAAGAGTATTATGGTTTGTTATTAAATACAAGAGTTATAAAATTTCAGGAAATGTTATAAAGTTAAAGGCAGGAGAGGGGATGGGACAATCTTTCAAGTCTTTGGAACATAAACAGAAGTTTTATGGGGAAATGAAATAGATGTATTATTCCCTTCTGCAGTTAGCTTACTTTTGCTACTTGAAAGTTGAAATCCTGTGCCAAGTTATCTAAGCCACAATGAACAAAACAGGTATTAACAGATATAGACTTCTGCTGTAAGAAAATCATGTTTGTACCCAAAACATACATAGCAAATATGTACTGTTTACTATATTAAAATTTAATTATGACAATATAAAATTTGTTGTTGTTGTTTAGTCGTTAAGTCATGTCCGACTCTTCATGACCCCATGGACCAAAGCACGTCAGGCTCTCCTATCTTCCACTGCCTCCCGGAGTTGGATCAAATTCATGTTGGTCACTTTGATGACACTGTCCAACCATCTCATCCTCTGTCGCCCCCTTCTCCTCTTGCCTTCACACCTTCCCAACATCAGGGTCTTTTCCAGGGAGTCTTCACTTCCCATGAGATGACCAAAGTACTGAAGCCTCAGCTTCAGGATCTGCCGTCCAGTGAGCACTCAGGATTGATTTCCTGCAAAATGGATAGGATTGTTCTCTTTGCAGTCCAGGGGACTCTCAAGAGTCTCCTCCAGCACCCCAATTCAAAAGCATCAATTAATCGGTGGTCAGCCTTCTTTATAGTCCAGCTCTCACTTCCCTACATCGCTACTGGAAAAACCATAGCTTTGACTATGCGGACTTTTGTCAGCAAGGTGAGGTCTCTGTTTTTTAAGATGCTGTCTAGGTTTGTTATCACTTTCCTCCCAAGAAGCAGACATCTTTTAATTTTGTGGCTGCTGTCACCATCGGCAGTGATCATGGAAACCAAGAAAGAATCTGTCACTGCCTCCATATCTTCCCCTTCTATTTCCCAGGAGGTGATGGGACCAGTGGCTATGATCTTAGTTTTTTGGATGTTGAGCTTTAGACCATTTTTGCACTCTCCTCTTTCACTCTCA